TTCAGGGTTGCATGTGGAAACAGGTAGTGTCGCCAGGATCTTTGAAAGTTTGTACGCACATTGCCGTAAGGTTTTTCCATTGTGTTTCGGGAAAGTTTTTTGCAATATTCTCTTTCAATCACTTGGTTCGTTTTGCCAAGGACTCGATAAAATTTCTAACAGATTTTATAATTCCATAGTATCTATATCTGTAGAGTAGGGAGGGTGAGTGTAGGCCCAGATCACTTAGGCCACATGTGACCCATTGTACATCCTCCCAAGGAGTTGTCCTAGGTCATAGTCGATCCTGTTCTTTCCAGAAAGGTGGACAGGTCACTAGGAAACATCTCCTTTATATCGCATAGGATATGCCTGACATTTCATCCTCCTGTTCACACATCCTGTATAGAGGTGTGTCTACTAGCCCCATATTATGGAGGTGTTTTCTTAGTTGACAATGGTCAATCAGAAATCCTACTATTAAGCGTATATTTTTGCTGGTCATCGCTAGATATTTCTTAGGCGTCAGCTTCCGAGGGTCGCCCAGGGCGATCCTGGCAAGATTGCATCCTTTGATTTCATCCCATCTCTTTAGGGATTGATCATGGGTGTAACGTTTGGCTGTAGGTGCCACTGGGTCTTAAAATTCTTAGTCCAGCCGTTTTTTTTTGGCTAAAGAATCGGCAATGCGATTACCTTTACTCCTGTCGTCCACCTCGGGATAATGTTATTACCTACCGAGGCTAAGTTTTGGTGGCACTCTAGTACTAGGCCTGAGGTAACAAGTTGTCTGTTCTAGGCTAATAGGGCTTGTCTGCTATCAGTGTAGATTGTTATTTTTTAGCCAGAAATTCCTTTAATGGTTACTTCTTTTGTGGCAATTGAGATTCCAGTCAGTTCTGTTCAACCACGCTGGTATTTTTTCCCATTCCCCACTAAATCCTTAGGCTTAGAGTGATCTGGAGTACACTCCACATCCTTAGCCTTCTTTGGTTTTTGAGCCGTCCGTATATATGCGTATTGCATTTGTAGCATCTGACTATGTGCTCTGTTTCATTTGTATTTTGTAGGGTTTATTGAACACAACCCTGGGTACTATTGCATCACTGGTTGCCTGGTTGAGATCACTTCTCGCCATAGGCTCACCCTCAGTTGACCCATTTCTACTTCGAGGTTTATATCAGCCATGTGCAATCGTAACATGGTCATTACCATAACTTCCCCAACGTACAGGTCCAGAGGGGACAGACCAGTAATTATTTCCATTGCCGCGGTTAGCGTTATTCTCATGGCTCCTGTAATGTTGAAACAAGCCACTCGTTGTATTTGATATAATGTTTGGATGGCCATTGCTAGTAGAACTTTTGGGGGGATCAATCTCCCTTGATCCCCCCCTGGCTACGGCCTTGGTTGGTGCGGTTGGACTTTGGTTTCGAAGTCATAACCAAATAATCATGATTCGTCACCAGTTATGACCGTTTTAAGCAAATCTGAATTTATGATATTAGTAGGATTAGGATTAGTACGATTACCTAAGTTTTTTTTGCTGATTCTATTCAAAATTGTATAAGTGGGTACCTATTGATTGACTGACACTCCTATATTAACGTACAGCGGAAGCTACTGAACCTAGAATTTTGAAATATGCAGGTAGGTTCTTTGTATAGCGTAAACAAGCATCAAGAAAAGGAATCAGGGGGAAAATAGGGGTTTGAAGATTTTATTGAATTTCGTCAGTTTTGAAGTTGGAAACCTGAAGTTTTGAGTTAATAAAAAATATTGTAACTATTTGTTTGAAATGGTCTGTCACGAAACTGAATGTGACAATTTCTATGCAGGCGAAGCCGCTGGCAACTATTTAATTGATATATTCTCCATAGTCGAGAATAATATCTTTTATTTTCGCAAATCACTTCAGAAATGAAGGCGAGGAATAATTTCCATAAGGTCCAGATATGAACAAATCGACATAACAAGTAGCCATTTTTAGTTGTCCATACCTATCCAACTACTAAAAACACATAATCTGGAAATAGATACCGAACTATCTAAGCCGGAGAATGGGTCACGAGCTTTCTATCTATGTCGAGAGATAAATTCCCTAGGGAGAAGCATGAATGGAGCGAACTTTCTGGATCGCGACCCACTAACCCGCTAGTACATTTTAATCGATAAAGGCAACCCTGCTCATGAATCGAGCTCGGGATGCTTTCACAATACTCGTGTATAGAATAAATTAATTACTTCATTTTACTTTGATTAATTGATTGCAAGCTGTGATGGTCCTTAATGAATTGGTTTGGAAAAGGAGTAAAAGTAGACTTGGTTGCCAGACATTACGAACTGAATAGTTATCTATACGAGTATGAATTCAAAGGAGGGACAGGATAGGATTATGGTTTGGATCTGTCCGGAACGAATTGTAATACTCTATGAAGGAATAGAGACGGTCAAGTTTTTACAATGAAGAGGAGGGTTCAGTGGTGATCATAAACCTCGCATTAGCCGTAGATACAAAATCAACTTAGCAACTAAGATCCTAAGGATAAGGGTCTAAAAAAGATCATGAAGATGTCCAATGATCGCTTTAACAGTTTAGATCTCAGAAGGTTATATTACAATGGATATACTGAATATTGAAACAACAAATGTGAATAATATTGAACGGTATCTCATTTATATTGAATTCTGATATTCCGATTCAATCCAAAACAAGGAGTGTTACCAAACATCAGTTCTGGTGTGCTTATTTTGAGTTCATTCTCCGCCAGAGGTTCCAGTTATATCCATAATTCAGATTCAAGTGAATAATATCGGTTAGTTTGTCAAGAGTATTTTTTCAATACGCTTGTTTTGGCTATCCTAAATCTGTCCTCTTGACCTCTTCTACCACTTGTTCTATGATGATTTTACTTCAGTTTTCACAATAAGTTCCTAAAATTCCAAGAAATACTTGGAACTTACATTCAAATTAAGTCAACATTTAATGTGTCGATGCAAAACCACTATCTTCTTCAATCTCATTTTGTAAACAAAGAGGTATCCAACTTTTGACATCTGGGGATTCAGTCGAAATATCAAATCATATACCAATTGTTGCAGTGTTATTTTTCAGTTGAGAATATTTCACCCAACTAACACGGGTTTATGATCAAAAGATCAAGTGAAGTTGATTAATCATGCATAACGGAAATAATTCTTCGTAGTCTCAGCATAAACAGGTAAAGGCAGAAGACATTCGATACACTTTTTTTACTGTTAGCCTAACTCGAAACAATCGGATCATCTGAATTTTTTGTTGAGCTTATGGAATCGTATTTTATCGAAAGAATACAGTATGCCAAATGAGGAGGCCATACTTCCAAATATTTTCTAGCTATCTGAGATATTCCCCAAGAATTAAATCTTGGCCGCCTTTTGTTCCTCATATTCATCTACTTCAGCCATCTGAAGATATTCAGATCAAAACCTGACTTGAATGCAGATTGGTGCTCTTCAACGAACACTTTACCATGTGGTATCCATTTTGATAATCTCATCTAGATATTGATAAACAAAACTGCAATTAATGTATTAACATATATTTTCTTCCCTCTCCTCTAATTTCTGTACATCAAGTATCAAGCCTAAAGGTTAGGTTAGGTCTAAAATGTTATTTTCACTATTTTTACCGAAGAGTAAAGAGTAAGAGTTAGCTTGACGGGCCCTATCCCCGAAGCTCCGACACAGTCAAGAGGGTGCACCAGCATTATCAGTGAGCTAAGTGAGCATTGGGTCCGAGAATCATGTGACCTGAGCAGACGCAGCGAGCCAAGAATGACAGCCTTCTGCATTTGCTCGACTAATATTTCTGCCTTCGTACGTCAAGTCGGAATGATCTTGAGATTCGAGAGTAGAAAGGACATCATTTCACCAAGAACTCCAATATAATCAGAACAACCATCTTAACTGACCATCTTACTAACTGCCAACATGTAAAACATGAATTAGATGTAATCTCACTTTGGTGTAAAGATATAGTCGTCTACAAGTGAACATATCCAAATGTAAAATAATATCATTCACAACAAAAAAGCGAACTTTAATGTACGATTATTCAATCAACAATACTACAATCAACCGCGTATACGAGATAAAAGATTTTGGTATAATATGACAGTAAATTAACATTTACAATATGACTGCTAATGCAAATAGGATTCTTGGATTCGTTTACAGAAATGGCAAAAACTTTATAAAAGTATTGCCTCCTTGAAATTGCTATACTACATGGATCAATAAGTCCCGAGACTAACCCAGAGATGGCGCTCTTAGTAAACCAGTAACCACGTCTTTCTAGAGTACTAACCTTTGCTTGAAACGTGTCGAAATTTTAAGTCGATCGGACCAGAAACAGCTGAGTTATCGAGGTTAGAGTAAAGTCGTTTTGTAGTTTGTTTAAAAAATGGAAAAAACCGAGTTTCGTGTTCTGATAAAACATTGTTTTTTAATGGGTAAAAACACCGTGCAAGCGAAAGAATGGATTGAAAAATGTTACCCGGACTCTTGTCCATCAAAAGCAACGATTTGTCGGTGGTTTGCCGAGTTTAAACGTGGTCGTACCGACACAAATGACGCAGAACGCTCGGGTAGACCTGTGGAAGCTGTTACACCGGAAAATGTGAGTGAAGTGACAAAAATTGTAATGAAAGATCGTAAAGTGAAGCTCCGTGAGATTGCTGAGATNCTGTGTGTGTGGGTTTTCGATACCTTCCACTATAATTTTTATATTTTTCAGATTGTGGAAACTGAAACTACACAAAAAATGCATAATGAATATTATTTCAAAACTTGAACCTCAGAACTAAAACCCTTGGCCAACGTAATCGAGTTTCCCTTACCTCCGACCCTGACAAAGACATCTCTCTCGACGGCGATATAATTTATATCCAACGATCGCTGCCGCTGTAGTACGCATTCAATGTTACAAATACTATTTACGATACGATACGGCGGAGATAACAGGCTGTATTAGTTCAGCAGAAAGAGCGCTTTATTTTGTTCTCGGAATCAACTTAATCTCATTTCTGAGAATGCTTGGAGATAGGAAAGCGACGTTACAGCTCTTTGTGTTCAGATTCACTAATTGCTCACTGATGAACAGATCTGATGAAACGACGCTATTTGAATATTGGATTAAGTTACAAAATGTGAAGTTGAATAGTAACGTCAAAATGAAATCGCTTGGAATTGTAGTCCAGTCATTATAGTAAGTTCACCTCGGAATTCGAGATACCCAGCTGTAAGTCTGTAAATACTTGTATATTAACACCCTAAAAGTTGTCTCAAAACCTACATATGGTATGGTGTAAGCAACTATTAAATTTCAAGGTCAAAGGTCACAAAAATCGGTTTTTTGCGCTTTTTTTGGAAATATCTCATTTCCTNTTGATAATAAATACAAATAGCAAAAAACCCATAGGAAATGAGATATTTCCAAAAAAAGCGCAAAAAACCGATTTTTGTGACCTTTGTCCTTGAAATTTAATAGTTGCTTACACTCTACCATATGTGGGTTTTGAGACAACTTTTAGGGTGTCAATATACAAGTATTTACAGACTTACAGCTGGGTATCTCGAATTTCGAGATTCTTACCTAATTTAAGCTTAAATGACTGGATTATTAGATGATTGTGGAACTGAAAGGAGGTGTAGGGTTTTTCCTACAACTATTTAGTTTAGAAACATTTCAATTCTTTATTGATTTTTATTAACACGCTTTTATTGTATTAGTTTCACCTGTATGTATGTATGTATGTATATATGTTTGTTTGTTTGTTTGTTTGTTTGTAACTCTCAAGCTCGGGATCTGTATTTGACAAAATTATCGACATTATTGCTTGATCTATTCGCGGGCTGATTGATCCCAAAGTTTAGATGAAATAAATATAGTTTGAAAAACTAAAAAACACGCTTTTATAGCACACGAAACTGAAGAATGAAAAATAAATATAGTTTAAGAACTAAAAAACACGCTTTTAAAAACCATCGAACTAAAAAGTTAAAAATATTTTTTTAAAGAAGCTTAACCCTTCATTGCATTCTGTTGCAGAAATGCAACATACCATTCAATCAGTTGTAAGTTTCTATTCCAATAAGCAGAAGTATTCGTGCACGTTGCAACATATCTGCAACAGTGTCTGGTACGAAATTTCGTATCTCAAAAAGCCCCTGAACGGCCCTGGTTTCAGTTTGAAATGTGTTTCCGTTGAGAGTGTGAGGTTAGAATTTCACTACCTGTTATATTTGATTTCTCTCCTAGCGTTCAATAATACGAATAAATTACCAAACCATCAGGTAAGACACATTTTATGACATCCATAAATCGCAGGCTGTTTTTTTGCATATATTTTTTCGTTATGTTATAAATATAGTTTGTGCAACAACATGCGGTAAGTTCATATGAAATGTGTTTTCAGCATGACTGCTAAGAAATACCTCTCAGATAAGGATTTGGAAGAAATACTACAGAATCTGAGTGAAAGTGAAGACGGCTATGATTTTTCTGATGATAGCATCGCAGATCCGAATTTTCTGCCGAGCGATCAAGATTTGGAGAATTTTGGACTTGGATGATACAGCCGATGGAGAAGGAACCCTCGATGAAACCCAGCAAAAAACTAATGTTGTGGAAACGACAGTATCAGTTCCTTCCACATCAGAAAGCTCATCGAATGGAAAGAAAACAAATCGAAAAGGACAGAAAATACTATTTGGAAGAAAAAAAATCTCATACTGAATGAAACCCAGATGAAATTTCTTGGAAATTCGAGTCTTCCAGCTAGTATCATGGAATCGAATACTCCTTATCAATTCTTCACTTTTTTATTCACCGATGATATAGTCAGTAATATTGTAGAACAGTCAAATCTATATGCAATACAGAACGATCCCAGTAGATCTGTCAATATAACCAGTACAGAGGTGAGACAATATATTGGAATTTGCTTCTACATGTCATTGTTTCACAATACGAACACCCGATCCTATTGGTCTGAGAGCTTGGGATTTGATGCAATAAAAACAACAATGTCGGTGAATCGTTTCGAAAAGATAAAACAATCCCTTCATTTCAACAATAATGAAGCAAACAAGCCACATTCTGACAGACTGCATAAAATAAGACCTCTTCATGGTGCACTGAACAGAAACTTCTCAAAAGTTCCAATGCAGCAGTACCTATCCCTTAATGAGCAAATTTGTTCTACAAAAGCAAGACATTTTCTGAAGCAATATTTACCACTCAAACCTCATAAGTGGGGGTTCAAACTCTTCGTTCTAACCTCCGTATCTGGATTTGCTCCTAGAGTAGAAATTTATGCAGGACAAGAAAATGGCAATTACTCAACAGAAGTTCCTGATTTGGGTGCTAGCAGCAATGTCGTGGTTCGTTTGGCACAAATGATTGCAGACAACCTGAATCACAGAATTTACTACGATAATTATTATACCTCGATTCCGTTCATATCATACTTAGCTGGAAGAGGAATACTGAGCCTGGGTACTGTACGGAGAAATAGGATATCAAACTGTAAGTTGCCAGATGAGAAAACTATGAAAAAAGCAGATAGAGGTGCTACATATGAATATGTTGCCTCATATAAGGGCACAGACATTTCAAATGTTGCCTGGCAAGGCAATAAAACTGTAACACTCCTATCGAATTTTGCTGGAGTAAAGTTCAGCGTTTTGATAGAAAGGTAAAGGAAAGAATTGAAGCGGATCGCCCATACATTGTGAACGAATACAACCGGTAATGGGTGGTGTTGACTTGTTGGACAGTCATTTGGCACGGCACAAAATATTACTACGCAGTAAAAAGTGGTATTTCAGACTATTCTATTATCTGTTAGATTTAGCAGTGATCAATTCTTGGGTACTTCATGAGCAGGCTTTGGTTCAGCGTTAAACTACTGACAAATTGCCAACTTTGTCCGAATTCAAAACAGAAATAGCAGAATGTATGTGTAGAATTGGTGCACAGCGGGAAAGAGAAAAAAAGGGTAGACCGTCCTTATCCATTGAAACAGACATTCAAAAGAAAAAAATGAGGGGTCCCGCCCAACATGTACCTCCCAAAGACGTGAGACAAGATTCAATTGGACATTGGCCCATTTGGACAGAGGAGAGAGTAAGATGTANCGCAGGTTTTAACCTTCTAACGTCAAGATAAGTGTCTGTATATTTCTCAGGTCTTTTTTTTAATAGGCGAAATTATATAATATGACAAATTATGAATAAATAGAAAATCTACGCCGCAATTAATGGGGGAAAACTACGATGAAGAACTACAATCTCCACCACACTTTCGTTCAATATTTGAGATTATTACTCTGTAGGGTTTTTCCTACAACTAATTAGTTTAGAAACAATTTATTTCGGTTAGGAAATTAACTTTTCATAACTTTATTATCGAGCAGTCGTCCATCTACCTGTGTTTTTATGTTAATTCTTTCATTTTAACTTTTACTTATCTTTTTCGTATTTTCTCATCGCATATCATTGAAATGCTCCCTTCTCTCGAAACGACAGTTTAATGCCGAAAAACAGATGAATGTTTTGAACGACACCTCTTGGGATGTTTCGAGTAGGTACTCATCGTTAACACAAGGAATTCAGACCCAAGTGGTTGATCCTTCTGAACTACATTTACGACCCCGACCATTGTCAGTGAGAGAGTTACCTCAAACACATTTTTTAGCCAAAGCAATTCATTTTGTTCTGGGATTTCGGCCAAGAACTATTTCTTATTCTGGGGTTTCCGCCGAGAAGTGAACCTGCTAAGTCACCACTCCCGACAACTTCCTTCTTCGCGATGACTTTTCGTATTTTTTTTAAGGACAAAACACAAACACTACTGGAAAATCCTTGAGGCTCTCTAAGAGCGGTGCCTGTGCGAAAGTAGGGACTCACATTGAATTTCACGCTAGATATTGGATCCATTTGGAAAAATGTTCTCAGGAAATTTATTCCACATGAACGCACTTCTCCAAATGATAGAGTTCCTTAACGGTGAAGTTCGAGGTGTACTGAAATGAACCTCAAAACGATGAGCAGCCACAGTCCGTCGCGTATTTCTGAGATGTGCCGCTCTTGGTGAAATTATAGGTGCCAAGTCATTTGAACACCTACCGTGAAAGTATCTATGAAAGAGAAACAAATCTCCAACCTTTCTTCAATGTTCCAGACTATCAAGGTTGCAAGTGATGTTCGCGTCTCCAATTGGGTTCTTTTCTGGATGTAACCCAGCAGCTTCAGGGTATGCTTAGGGGCGAAACTCCATATATGAGAACAATACTTTTGACAAGCAGTCTTTGCAATTCCAGTGACATGATTGTGCCAAGTCATATTGGTGACCATTTTGACCCCCAACAACACAGCAAATTGTCTGTCCTGACATCATTATACCCGATTGGGAGACTGAGGTCACCGCTGTACAGTCCCATTTTATTCAGGTGTCCTCTAATATATTGAAGTAGTTCTTCGGTTCTTTTCTCGGACGGTTCCCTAATGAAGGTTCTACTGTGTTTGTTGACAGGTACTTTTCTCCAGTACTCTGTGTGCTTCTTATTGGTCCATGTCCTAATCTGGTTTCGTACCAATGATTTTGGTACCCCCAGAGCTGGTTCAGGACCTATATATGAAGTTGATGATCCGCGTCTAGCGCATTCATCAGCTTTATCATTACCTGTAATTCGTGAATACCCTGGCATCCAGTACAAACAAAATGTTTTAGACTTTCACGGCTGAGGTTTTAAGTTCCCTCTCCAGATGTTCTGGTTCACATATTCTCCGAACCCGTTCCGTTAGAGTGGAGATGACTCCTCTCTTTTGGCTAGGATGGTGGTTCGATAGTGAGTGCAAGTATCTATCTGTGTGTGTGTAGGTTTCCGACACACTTTGTGGGTTAGTCTGGTACCACATCGTTCTACTAGTACATCTAGGAAAGCTATCCGTTGGTATTGCTCAATCTCCATGGTGAATTCTATGCTCGGGTGTTGGGCGTTCAAGGGGTTTAGGAAACGGTTCAGGGCGTATCTTCCATGTTTCCAGATGATGAAGGTGTCATCCACGTAACGTAGCCACAAGGTCGGCTTCAATTCAAAAGTGTCTATCGCCTTCCCTTCAAACCGTTCCATGTACAAAGTTAATTTGTTTCTGTTTGCAAGTTCATTCAGTTCTTCGTAGCATTCCCAAACCAGTTTTGATGTCACCTTCGGGTTCGCCAGAGCCCCTAGTGCGCTCTTGCTGTCTTTTAAAATATTGATCCGCTCATTTCTTTGAGGTCTCAATTTAATAAGCCTTGCACACTGCAAGATAGCATACACTTCCGCCTGCAAGACGGATGTGTAAAGTCCTTGCTAACCTGGTTAGTTTCACCTCAATTCGATGTTGTTCAATGAGAAAAATAAATGTTAAGTAATCATAATGCAGTTTTCAATATCATTTTCATTTTATTTCAGAACTGCAGTGTTGAGGCATTGAGCCGATGATTTCAGCCGGCGTGGAGGGAAGACTGCCCTATATGACATACCCGGAGCCCTGGAGGGGACCCCCGAAGCAGCCACCAGAGTTGTTTCTTAGGCCCGCTCCAAAGCCTCTACCACCCTCAACTAGGTACGTATTTTGAAAACTTGAGAATACAACTAAATCTCTCATATACTCATCAGACTATTCAGTCTTTTAAACGATAACTTCAATGTATACATTTTCATTATTTTATCTCCTATCAGATACTTCGATACTTCAAAACCGTCAGACGTACCAACTGTATTTCTATCTTGCAACAGATACAATGGAGTTAACACCACTACCTATCCTAACGGAACAAGGTTGGCTCCGGCACCGAGTACCATAACCAAGTACCCTTCACCACCTTCGATTCCGGCTCCGGTTAACCTCACGCAGAAGGAAGTCACAGAGGAAATGCCGACGTACAGCCCCTATCGATTGTTTTCCCATCCCCCGCAGTTCCCCCACTTCGCATATCCTGTGTGCCAGCCACCATATATGATGAGGACTAACTTCCCTGCGACACCTCTATCGCCGATGGAGACGTTTTCACCAACAACGCCTACGACGACGACGTTTCTTTCTCCTCCAAGCACATTCAGTCCCCCCTCATCTTTGAAAACTGGTCAATCGCTGCTGAGAGAGAAAAAACTACCCCAGCAGTCAGTGGTAACTTCTACCTTGCCCACTTCTCCGTCAACTCAATCGGGAGCCTTCAAAGTCCCTTCCGGGAAGGAGGGTTCATTGAAGCACAGGATTCTCACGAGGCCAGAAGAGATCAGAAGTGGGCCACTGGACCTGCAGAAGCCACCAGAGGGTAGGAAAAGGTTGCAGGCCACGATGTCTCCTCCTAGGTCTCCGAAGAAAACTTTAAATAACAACACGTTACCTAGTAACTTCGCCAAAGGATCTCTTATTCAGTTGTTCAACGGGGAATTGAGGAGGATAGAGGATATGCGTACTGAGGATTTCATTATTTCTGCCGAACGGAGCCCGGAGCTTAGATTGGCGGAGAGTACGGTGCTGAAAATTGATGAAAATCCACAGACAGAAAATGCTACAATTACGCTTACGTACAATAACAGGCGCGCACAGGTAAGCATTTATTTATTTTTTATATAATCTGAACATTTTTAAAATTAATGTTTCGAGATTTCCAAGTTGGAATAGGTTGACAACATACCTGTTTTTTGAAACAGTATATTACGCACTTAGGGAGAAAAGTACGGCCTTCTCGCCCTCGAAATTTTTACACCCGTCGTGCGTATACGATTGCGGGATGAAAAGTTCCATCCTTTCGTTAATTTAGCTTTTTCCAATCATAGATTAAACATTTAACTGTCGTCATGTATTTCAAGTTGTCATATATAGTTTGATAAACAATTCATCGCTAGGTTACCAAAAGGAAAAGTGAGATAAGAGCATTTTGATTATGTTTTTCAATCAGCTGACGTCTCCTTACGAACAACAACTCATAGAAGTTGAAACTTGTGCGAAATAAGATTTTTTTTGTACTTATTCGTCTTTCACATCATTATGATATTAGACATGTCAATAATGAAAATAACAATAAATATAAATAAATAAATATATACCTATCAAATGAAACATGCACTATACAAAACACTACGAGCTACATACTGATGCAAATTTTAAAATCATAGAGAAATTATTATAAAACAACATAATATAATTATATACAATTAAAAGGTTTAACATAAAAATAGGAA